TAAACAACTAGCTCTGTGGCTATTCAACATGCTAGATCTCTCAGTGTTTAAGTTTCTTCACTTGTAAATTGGGAAGGCTGTTAGCACCAATCTTTTTGCATTGAAGGTTAAATATAAAACACTTAAAAAAAGAAGACTTGGACATAGCTGATACTCAGAGATACAGCTGGTACTCAGGATACAGCTGCTACAATTATTAATGTCTCTAAAGTGGTCCGTAGCTCATAGACCTAGGGCCACAGTCATAATTTCTAACAATTAAAACCAGTTGGCTCATATTTTAATCAGTTCCCTGTTGACCAATATGTGTTTGTATCCAAGAACATGTCTGCTTTCTGGGAATTCTGCAAATACTCATTCTGAGCAGTGTGTAAAACACAGACCAAAATATGAACACACAACTATACACACATTCATGTGTGTATATAGTTATATTTTCTAGTAATCTGCTTACTTTTGCAAAACTTGCAACTCTCAGAGACTGACAGTTTTAGTGTCAGTATTTTCCAAATACAATTGGGACTGTGCAGTCCTTTTTTTTTTTTTTTCTCCTTCCCTTTACTTAATCCTCTGTCTACATTGTTGTATTTCCTATTCCTTTCAATGTACACACAGGCCAATAAAACATACAAAGTGCAACATGCCTAGAAATGATTTTGATATTTCCCTATATCGTAAGGAATGCTACTTTTAATCTCTAAGCAATATTTAAATAAGCCCTGAGGATTCTACGAATAACTTCCTGGATTCCTTTCTTTGTGGATGCATGTAACCAAACACCTTGCAGGGGCTCTACACTCTTATTTTCTCAGCTTTAGTTGTTTAATTAAGCATTAAGTTGTTTATAGCCAGGAAGTCCCAACACAAGAGATTTCTTCCTCAATCTGTCTCTTGAATTGAATCATTGGATCCAATCCAATAGTAATAATAAAAACCCACTAGTTATACTAATTGATGTTGCTTTTGTAATGAAGATTCTAAGTTTTGGAGTGATGCTTTGAACTTGAATGTATTTGAATTTAGTTTGTTCTGCATATATACAGTAGTAACACCGAAATTATCACAAGGTCTTAATTTGATTAACAGACCTCTTTGGTTAAATAAAGGAAGGGAAAAAGTTAACATGTTGTCTTTATTTTGTGGTTATGGATAAGCATTTTTTTCTTTCCTATTTTTTTGTAGACAACCAACTAATGTTATTGTGGTTTCCATGATGCTGAAACAAGTCTGAATTTGTTGAATCATTATATTTAATGATATATATTCTGGACAACAAAAATATTGTATATTTCTATAAATTCACTAATAGGTATGTTTTTTTTTAAAGATTTAATTACTTATGCATACAAGAACTGAGGTACAGGCCAGAGGTATGGGGGGGTTAGAGGATTCACCAGAGACAGAGTGGGGAGCAGAGCAGGCAGATGTACTGAAATACACTGCTGAAAGGAGCAGTGGGAGAGACAGGAAAGGTCTGCTGCCAAGTGGGTAGCTCCCTTGCTGGCTGGAGATTGAACTTGTGTTGCAGAGGCTGCGGATAGCTTTATAGTGCTGTACTTAACCCCTTGTGCCACCAGGGAGGCCCCTAGTAGGTATGTTATTAAGAATGTTCATACTGGATCTGAATATAAGGCCATATTAAACATACAATATATCAATTAATTAAAGTTCATTATTAGTCTAGAGCATCATGAAATATTCAATGGTCAACAATTGTCCCTAATCAACTTAATTCTCAATTTTTTTTTTTTAAAGATTTATTTATTTATTTATACAAGCACTGGGTACAGTCAGAAGCGCAGGAGGGAGAGAGAATTCACCAGAGCCAGAGCAGGGAACAGAACAGGCAGACTGACGAAATACACTGCTGAGGGGAGGTGTGGGCGCGGCAGGAGAGGTCTGTCGCGCCATGTGGGACCCTCTCCGGTGACTGGGTATCGAGGATGCGGGCAGCTTTGCTGCCCAGTGCTGAACCGCTGCGCCACCAGGGGAGGCCCAATTCTTAAAACAATAAAGTCAACCCCTTCTACAATAACAAAAGCTTACTATTAGACTCTTTTTAAAAAAGATTTATTTATTTATACATACAAGAACTGGGGTACAGGTCAGAGTTGCAAGGGGTGAGAGGATTCACCAGAGACAGAGTGGGGAACAGAACAGGCAGACTGACTGAAATACACTGCTGAGGGGAGCAGCAGGCAAGACAGGAGAGGCCTGCTGTGCCATGTGGGTTGCTCCCTGGCGGGCAGGAGATTGAACTTGCACTGCAAAGTCTGCAGACAGCTTCACAGTGCTGTGCTCAACCCCCTGGGCCACCAGGGAGGCCCACTATTAGACTCTTAATGAAAAGTTTTAGGAAATTACAGATCATTAAAAATAATAGTGTATTTTGGGGCAAATATTGTATTTTGGGGGCATTTTCACAATTAGGACTGTGTTCTATTCTTATTGGTCTCACTTTCCTGATGAAGACACTAGGACTTCTACATGCTATTCTCTCCCTGTGGAGTTCTCCTGTCCCCTTCTCTCCTTGCTTTGCCTAGTCATATTTCTGGACATACCCATGTGTCTACACACACACACACACACACACACACACACTACAATACAATTTTTCTTCTTAACATTTATTAAGGTATGCACTTATTTGTTTATTGTACATAGTTGGGCTGTCACTAGCATGATAACATCAAAACAGGATTATGTCATTAACTCCTAGAATCAGTTTAGTTACTGTCATTCAAATGATCAGTGAACATTTATATAAAAGGGTTCCTGGTTAAGCCTGAATATTACAGTGAATAAAATAACAGATACAGTCCCAATCCTCTTGAAGCTTAGTCATAGAATCTAGCATTAGAAACAGATATTAAAAATCAAACATGATAATGTGCTGTAGATACAGGTATAGATTTTAGCCAGTTCAGGTTGCCATAACAAAATTTCATAGACTGGGTAGTTAAAAAAACAAGAATCTAATGGTTTTGGAGCTTTGGGATCAAGATGATAACTGATTTTTTTTTTCTAATCAGGGCACTTTTCCTAGATGGTAGGTGGTACCCTGCTTGCTGAGTGCTCACGATTTGGGAGGCAGTTTGGGGAGAGAGAGAGAGAGAGAGAAAACTCAAGCAGTCAGATAACTCTATTGTGTGGGAACTAATCTCCCCATGCATAATCCTACTTTCACAATCATATCCAAACCCAATTACCCTCCAAAGGTTCCATTTCTGAAACCCATCAGAGTGGGGTTAGGACTTCAACACAGAAATTTTGAGTGAATACATTTCAGTTCATAGTAAACATAGATGAATATTTAGATGGTATAATATAAAAGTTTATTTTGTGGATTATTGTAAGCTGCTAGCAACTTTAAGCAAGGAAGTAACAGTGTAACTTGATGTAATTTACAGTCTAAAAGATAACTTGATGATTAATTAACCAGGGGCATAAATTTGTAAATAAGAAGTCAGTTAGAAAGCGCATCAAGTGGCCACAGTTGGGAGGCAAAACTCAGGCTGTGAATGTGGTGACTGATGACAACAGATGGAGATAGCTTGGTGTCAAGAACCAAAGCAGTGGTCATTGTTGATGGATTACAAATGGAAATGATGCTGTAATGGGACTCAGTCTCCAACCCCAACTTTCTGGACCCAGCTCCTGTAGAGACAGAAGTGCCAGCTCTGTTATAGAGAGAAGTGGCATTATAAAGATAAGACAATCCAGAAAAGAAGTTTCAGGGACATAATCCTAATTTCAGTACCAATGTGTAGAACTCACCATGGCACTGATAAATAAAAGCAAACAGATCAAGGAAGCATTTGATGATAGAGGTTGACCTTGGTGGACAAGTCAGTATTGGAGATAGAAATTATGGGGTCATTAAATTTAGATATTATTTAAAACCATCAATGGATACATTATTCTAGGGAGACACATAGAAAAGGGAAAGGGATACAGAACTGAGCTATGAGTAAATACAAAATCTAAAGATAAGGAAGAAGAAAGGGACAGATGCAAGTGAATGTATTGAAGTGTCCAGAAGAAATAATAGATTGACACCTCACAGAGCTCAAGTGCAAAGAACATTTAAGCAGAAGGGTGTGATTTCTTTGAAGGTACCTGAGAGAGTAAGATGATGAGGAACAGAAAGTATCCACTTAGCTCCCATTCATAGTGCCACCATGTGCATGGCTATTAGTTGCCTTGCCCCAATTAGATTGTGGATTCTTGGATGACAAGAGGTGTATTTTAATTTTATCTCAAGCACCTAGTTCACTGACAGGCATAGAGTAACTACAGCTAATTTTTGTGGAATGTTACACAAATGACGCGTGTCTTCATCATGCTGTTTGCTTGCAATAGACTTTCCTTTACACCTTCCTCTGACTTTTGAACTTTGATGCTTGGGTTTTTCTGGACACTGACTATTTAATTCTATTCCATGCCATGGTAACTGCTCACTCCATGTTACTCTAGCTTTTTATGCTTCCCATGGTGGTTAAGTAAACCTGATTCAATTTTTTGCAGGTTGTCCAACTCCAGCTTTGTTTTTTGAAATTCTAATATTTTGCATCCACAGTTAAGTGCTTTGAACTAAAACTATATCTAATCTGAAATATGACACACTTTCACATGGTTGGCAGGGAATTTTTAATTAGGTGCCAATCAATTCATTTTAACTCATTCTAATTTATCTTGAATTATTTTCTCTTATCCCCTCCCTACATAGGACAGGTATAATATCATCTTATGGAAACAAAGTTGAACAGAGTGCAACAGTGCTGTGGACATGTGATTGATATCTAAGGCTGGCAGGAAAGTCATTATCAGATAAAAGAACAGCCTGATAGCATAAGGTCTAATCAACAGATAGCATCAATGAGGAAAGTGAATAGATCACATTTTTTATAAAAGAGAACATCACTTCCTTCCTGTCTTCCGTCCTGTTTCCCTGAGTTCCTAGAATACTGGAGAAGTCTATTGTGCTAACTGATGTTTAACGGAAATGTTTAGAGGATGTTTACACACCTTTAATCCCTTCACTGGCCACAGGTCCATAAAACAGGATTAACTTTACCCCTGATTAACTTCTTCCTCTGCAAATGAGCATGTAAGTCTTTCTCCATTTCCTCAGAACAGTTAATATCCATTTTGATAACACGCAGTTCTTTTTTCTCTCTCTATATGGCCGTGTGTGTTTCTACCTGGAGGGTTAGAAAAATCAACAGGGTGTTGACAACTGTTTCCTGTTGTTTTCTTGTCCTGTACATTAATATAAAAAACAAATATAATTAACACATCCGTGCAGGCATTCATGGTGCACACAGTGTGAATAACGGCGCCCCCGCAGATTCTCCACCAGGATCTCAACTGCCTGTTTGCACCCCCCACCTGCAAAAGACGCTGCCGCTGGTTAAGGGACTTGCCAGCAGAAATCATAATACTTGCTAATCAGAAAAAAAAAAGATGTATTTTAAATAATGGTATTCTTTATCGACTGCTAGTAAATAATAATAATAATAATAATAATAATAATAATAATAAACAACTGTGCAAACCAGCTACATCTTGATAGCTGACACAATGCTTCTTGGCCAGGACCTACTCAGAATACTTGAGATAGTGTTAGGACCTTTCTTCTTTTTTGGTCAATAACATAATTAAGCACTTTTAGTGACCTGTAAAACCATGTCTTTATTATGTGTGTCAGAAATCTGTAAACTCTTAAATATATCAGCTTTGTGCATACCCATTTATTGTGTATTTACAGACTTTCCTGAAACAATAATAGTAGACACCTAGGCAGAGTTGTCTAATGCAGTTTTGTCACTAGGATGTACTATTACAGTGACAGAGGACCCATGCCAGCTCCACTTCCAGATGATCAGATCACGTTGTGTAGCAGAGCCATTAATAACATCTATAATTAATTTATTAGTAGGAACAATGTTTTGATCTAGAAATGAATCTTACTAAACTATTGATGGGGTGTTACATCTCCAATGATTTCTTCATTACATTGATTCACATTTAACTGATAAACAAGAAGTACATGTTCCTTTAACTTTATTATTGTTTAAAAAAATTAAATCCAGGAATTAGACTTAGAATGTAGAAATCAAGCTGAGTCATTTCCACCAAGTAATAATTAGTGAAAGCTTCCAAACAGGCAAATAAAAGCTAATATATAAAACATGAAAAATCTTCCAACTTTTTGAAATCTATACTGCAGCTGGAATCCAGTGGATGATGGAAACGTATAACATGCATGATGGTTAATGTCAAGTCTCAATGTGACTAGGTCAGGTATACAGATACATGGTCAAGCACAGCTCTCGATGGCTCTAGGAAGGCATTTGTCAGATGATGTTAACATTTAAGTTACTACTTTAAGTAGAGTAGATTATCCTTATCATAAAGTGGGTGGCTGGGAGAGAACTCACTGAGAGCTCAAGGAGAAAAAGAGTGAGGTCTCTAAGAAACAGAGAATCAGGCAATTCTGCTTCTGGACTTAGGCTTCACCATCAACTCGACCCAAGGTGTCTCATCAGCAGAGTTGCTCTGCATATTTTAGACTTGTCAGAACACAGAATTGCTTGTGACATTTGCTATTTCTTTTTTTTTTTCCTCTCTCCCTGGAGAACCTGGAAAATAGTCATACAGCATCATTGTTGCATTCAAGGAACTCACAATGCAGCAGGAGTACAAAAATGTCTGCATGCACACCTACAATCTCTCTCTCACTCTCCCTCCTTCCTCCCTCCCTCCAATAATATCAAAAGTCTGGGTGGAATGGATATTTATGTCTCATAAGAAATAATAGTAGAGAGTCTCCCTGGTGGCACAGGGGTTAAAGTCTCAGTGCTATCGAGCTATTGTCAGCTACTGAGGCATAAATGTTCCATCCCTGGCCAGGGAGCTGACCCACATGGCACAGCAGAACTCTCCTGTCTCACCCGCTGCTCCCCTCAGCAGTGTATTTCAGTTAGTCTGCCTGTTCTGTTCCCTACTCTGTCCCTGGTGAATCCTCTCACCCCCAACACCTCTGACTTATCCCCCAGTTCTTATATGCATAAATACATACATAATAAATAGCTCCCTGGCTGGAGATTGAACTCATGTGCAGTGGCTAGTGATAGCTGATAGCGCTGAGACTTTAACCCCTGCACTACCCTACTACTATTTCTTACAGGAAAACAAACAAACAAACAAACCAGTCTTTCTCTAAGCCCTGCCACCAAAGTCTGGAAGATTGAGAGAAAACAGGCTGAATGATCTGACAGAATAAGAAAGAAATCTTGTAACATGACAGATTGGCATTGTATCAGTAAGGGATGAGATTCTTTTCTAAATTGTTAATATACCAAATTGCCAGGTTTCACTTCAAAGTCCTTATCCTAAGATCATAGGCTAAACCTGGTTTGGGTTCATGGAAATAATTTAAATCCTCTCTCCTCTGAGTGATTGGTTTGTTTCTACCTCAGAAGGTGGTTATCAATTGTTTAAAAAAAATTTCTGCCTATTGGTAACATTTAACTTTAGAATTCAATTAGGATAAATTAATATATTGGAGACAACACAGGATTAATGTTGCTTACTAATTTTTTTAGTTGTCTTCTTGTATGACCTCCAGTCACTTAGTCTCAAGGAACTTGAAACAAAAGTTTATCACTGCCCTCATGAATTCACAGATTAGTCATTGAAGATCCTTGAACTATTTTTGTCAGATAATATATTATGAGAGATTGTAATGTTCTTACAAAGAAAAACGTGGAATCAAATAAAATGATATTCTCAAAGCATGTTAATATGTGATAAGTGATAAGAAATTACATATTTGTTATTGATAAGTGTTGTTCTGTCAAGTTAATTCAATTTTACTCACCATTATCTTATAATGAGCAAAGAAAATAAGTGAATGGGAATTTTGTGATCTTAACATATACATATACCTTCAGAGTTTACAAAATTAGTTACTTCCACTTTCTTATCAGTATATTGCAAGCCCCAGGGAATTTTGCATTAAGATGCAAGCTTTAAAACTTCATGTTCTTGGGCCTCCCTGGTGGCGCAAGGGGTTAAGCACAGCACTATGAAGCTATCTGCAGCCTCTGAAGCACGAGTTTGTCCCTGGCCAGGGAGCTGCCCCCATGGCACAGCAGACCTCTCTCACCTGCTGTTCCCCTCAGCAGTGTATTTCAGTAGATCTGCTTGTTCTGCTCCCCACTCTGTCTCTGGTGAATCCTCTCAGCCCCCCACACACCTTGGGCCTGTACCCTAGTTCTTGTATGCATAAATAAATAAATCTTTGGGGGAAAAAAAGAAAAAAACAACAGGTGCAGGCGGTTGAGTGCAGTGCTGTGAAGCTATCCACAGCCTCTGCAGCGCGTGTTCCATCCGGTCAGCCAGCAAGGGTCCCACATGGTACGGCAGACCTCTCCTGTCGTGCCCACTGCTCCCCTCAGCAATGTATTCCGTCAGTCTGCCTGTTCTGTTCCCCACTCTGTCTCTGGTGAATCCTCTCACTCCCTGCACCTCTGGCCTGTACCCAGTTCTTGTATAAATAAATAAATAAATCTTTAAACAAACAAACAAAAAAAACCCTTCATGTTCCCATCATGTCTAATCAGGGCAGCATAAAAACAACTGGTGTCAATAAATAAATAATACACCAATGATATGATATGAACAAACATTAGCTATTAAGCAGTTTGGTAGCTTCACTTGACAACACCGTATATGATCAAGAGGTATAGATCATAGCTCCGTAGATGTAGGACACATTTTTCAAGCAGGAGAGAAAAATTGGTTAATCTGGATATGAAAATGAGATAGGGTTGTGGGTGATATGGTGGAAGAACTTATTTCTTGTTTTTGCTTTTTTTTTTAAAGATTTATTTATGCATACAAGAACTGGGGTACAGGCCAGAGGTGTGGCGGGGGGTGAGAGGATTCACCAGAGACAGAGTGGGGAGCAGAACAGGCAGACTGACTGAAATACACTGCTGAGGGGAGTGGCAGGTGAGACAGGAGAGGTCTGCTGTACCATGAGGGTAGCTCCCTGGCTGGGGCTTGAACTCTTGATGCAGTGGCTGCAGATAGCCTCATAGGTTGGGTCTTAACTCCTTGCGCCACCAGGAAGGCCCTTGTTTTTGCTTTTATTCTTGCTCTTCTCCCCTTCTTGTCTTCTCTCCCTTCCCCACCATCCTCTTATCTTCCTCTTTTTAATTCATTTCATCCTTTTCTTCCCTCTCCTCCTGCCTTCTCTTATCTCACCACCTCAATAACCTCCTTGTCTTCCTTCCTGCCTTGTCTTCTCTCCTGCTTCAACATCTTTAATTGAGAACATTTTAACAGTATATTATTTGATTTGAACCAGGAAACAGATTTAATTTCCTAAAATTCCTATTAATAAGATTAATTAATTTGTATGCTTACTATAACAATATAAAGAAGAGATGATGCAGTTAATAAGCTTTGGTGCAGTTAATAGGATTTTGCATAAAATAGCAAAACTTTCAGTCCTCACTGAGCTACTTAATACCTGGTGCAAGTGCCTTAACCTCTCATAGCTTCACTTTTTTATCAGTAAATTGAGAATAATTTGTTCTTCATAAGTTTGTGATGAAGTAAATAAGTAGTATTCATATTTTGTGATGTATGAAGAAGTAGCAATAGTAGGAAACACATAATTTATATGAAAAATCATTTTGACTTTCATTGCCTCACATTATTTTATTAATCTGCTTTCCATATTTACTTACGTATTATAAATTTCCTAAAATATTTAGACAGAAAAAAATTTAATTAAATTTTTACAAAGGTGCATTTGGGATATAAGGTGATAGATTATAATGTACTCATATTAGTCCATTTTTATGTTAGAATATAAACTATAATCAATATTTAATTACTAATCATCAAAGGTAAATTAAATTAATGAGATCTAAGCAACATGTTTAGATATATATATAATTGAGATTTATATAAGTAAAGCTGAGGGTAGATTGATTAAAAGATTACCAGATGTTCCTGTAATAGTTTAACTACTTGGTATTCTGCCATATATAATGAATGTGAAGACAGTAAATGATGTTACATCTTGTTAGC